TGCTTTTGCCGTTACGATTGCTACTTTCATAGCCAGAAGATCGATGGATTATTATTATCACTATTATACGAAGACGTAGAAGGGCCGACAACGACTTGTACACTTTTCCATAATTTTTAATCAACAATTGTCGGTCTGATCGACAATTTCTCTTTCTGCATGTCCACCAACTTAGCGAAACAACTTCAAAACAAGTATAAATTGTGCACAAATGGTGTGCAGATAAAGCGGAATCATTGAATTTGATAGTTATAAATTCAATGGCGGAATATATCCGATCACGATAAGAGGTCGATAAGGAGGGCTATGGTTGGTAGAAATTTATTCCTTTCGTTGAGACCTTTCATTAGAGTACCATGAAGGATTAAACTAGTTCCACTCTCCCCCCCCCCCTCCACCCCGTATTTGGAAAAGAGGACGAAAGAAGGGCAGTAGTTGGTAGAAAACGGTTCCTTTCGTTGAGACGTTTAATTAGAATACATTGAGAGATCAAATAAATTTTTTACCTCCCCCCCCCCCTCCCCTCAGGTCCCGTCGCTCACTGATCTCGAAAAAGAGTCACACGGGAAAGTTATAGTTTGTACAAACCAATTTATTTCGATGAGACCTTTCATTAGAATACCATGAAAGGTAGAACATGTGTTTACCCCCCCCCCCCCCACCTGAAATTTAACTTGGCACCACTAACGGCATGCGTATGCAAAATCTGAGACCAATCGGTTTTAAAAGTTATGCACATTTTACTTTCAAAAACAGCATATCAGAAAATAATTCGTGCGGGGGGGGGGGCTTTTAGACAGAGAAATTTGATGGCAGTCTGGCACACCTTCAAGGTATCGTCTACCTATTTCAAAAAAATTCCAGGACTCTAGGACCATTCCCCTAGAAGTAGTTCGAAACGGCAGAAGTGGGTCAAGACGGACGAACAAAACGCAAACAATAGCACATTGTTTATGTTCTTAAAAAATGCGCTAAAAAAGAAAGGGCGAGATTACGAGATAACTAAGATATTATTCACTTTTTGATTTGTATAAAGTAGTAGTCGGTTATTTTTAGGAATATTGTTTGACATAATTTTAATTTTCCTAAAGGAATCGACCACCCGTAACAGTGATAGTCCATATAAAGAATTTTGGTTATTTTATTTCATTAATGGGAAAATTTGCATCTAATTTCAGTGATACCATTCCTTTGGTTGGATTAAAATTTTGTTTAGCATTCAGAGGTGTTTGAATGTTTTGAACAGGTTATGTTAACCGTAATCCGATCGATTGAACGTATTTTAACTGAACTGCGACTGTTTTAAAGTGTTTTTGTGAGCGTTTGTAGAACCGCTGCGGCGGATATTAATGTGCGATGATGGAAGCAAAGCACAGTGCGATTTGGTTTTAAATTCCGCGTGGATAGACACTCGAGGGGGTGGACTACATTTGAACCGCGCCACTTTTTCGCTACAAACGTAAACGACTGTCCGTCAGGACAGCGGCCCGAGTGACTACGCAACTGAAGATTTAAATTCAAAACTTTCCCTTCCAATTGAACCCCGTGGTCGCGCACAAATATAACAATAGGCTGGGGAAAAAAGAACTGACCAAGAAAAAAACCAATCAACAAATTAATATTGAACTTTATAGCAAAATTAGTTGTCTGTAATGACATGATGGTCGTCAAGTAAAGTAGTATAATGTCGAATCATAGCCTCCACTGAAATTCCTAAAGAATTAATATTTCACACACATAACATAAAAAAACAATCATTAAAACATTACAAACAAATTCACATAATAAGTTTGGATATTGGATGGCCAGTCCAAATCCCACACCGAGTAGTTTTTAGTTGCTCTGGTCATGACATGTCAGCCTTGTAAGAAAACACTAGTCACATTGCCAAATATTAATAATCATACTCACCCGATTTAAATACATAGAAAGAGAATAACGTTAAGTATCACATTACAACAAAACAAAGGAACATGTCGTATAAAGTAATTAATTCTCAATACCAAGTGCAAAATGTAACAATCAACGGCCTAACGTACGTCACACACAATGTGCTGCAAGAAACTCAATTATAAATTAACAATGTAGTGTCGATGTTTCCAAATACAGCACCATCCACGAATCGCTATAATATTTATTACATTGTTTAATTCTGCACACTCGTATTGAATATCATTCCTAAGAGGACATACTGTATTTAAGTATAAATAAAAACACGTAAATCGGTTAGCAATTCATATTGCGGGTTGGCAGATAAAACCAGCACTAGGAACAAAGGGATACTATAAATTGAAAAACAAACGTATTTACGTAGAAAACATAATGGAATATTGTATTTAATTCCAAGAATGATCAGCAAAATTATACAGGAGCAATTGGTATTTGTAATGCGCTATAAATGACAATGCCCATGCTGTACTGGAATGTCGTTAACTTGGCAAATAATCTAACACGATCATATAATTACTAGATGGATGCAATACAGGGTGGTGACTTGCGTAACGCATCATAGGGATTTCAATGTAAAATTCATAACATGCGATTATTGGCTCCCCAAATTATTTTAGCCACCCTGTATACGTAAAGATAAAAGAATAAAAACACAGCACCTGAATAATGATTGAGACACTCATAGTAACTCGGTATTCGAAAGGTAAAAATTACCACTGACTTCGATCAAAGCCCACATACGTCTGCCCAAATTTCCCCTTTAAGCAAATTCCAAACGAAAATTGTTAATATCGACTCGCCCAGAGTCGTCGGTCAATATGGATCATTCACTTACCTCGTATAGCGTTATGTTGTGTTGATTCAGATTGAGAAATGGATGTGAAAATTTGAATTAGAAAATTTTCTTGTAAATTTATGTAAAAACATTGAGCTGCTTATTCAATGGTAAAAGTATAGTGTGACACGCCACTGATTTTCTATTTTGTCCTCTATCTCATTCTGTAAAAATCCAATTCTACATCTAGTGTGCTGTGGAAATTTTGATAGCAGATTTAGATTATCCGAAAAAAAGTGCCCAACGGGAATCGTCCATTTCCGAACGTTTAAGCTTCGGGAAAGTAAAAACGAAATTTGACATTTTTCGTTTTTCAGATATTTTCAAAGTTTTTGTAAAAATTCCAAAGCGTTTTTAGTCACAAAAAAAGTACCTACACCTTTGCCCCCATTTAACCGACACTGTATCACATACCTTTGCAGCGATCTCAATGGTGAGCCAGGAATTTGAACCACCCTGTACATACAGTGCGAAAATTTTAACTCTCAACATAAAAATCTTCAATGTTCAACCAAAGAGTAACCACCCTTTGGTTCAACTCTTAAATACACAAGTCAATGCCCTGATATGCCTGATAGTTATGCAACCCACTTTACACACAGATTTGCCAGCAGTGTAAACAAAAGAAACTTAGTAGTTATATATATGTACTGACTTGTTGTTTGTTACTAACAATTTTCTCCGTGAATGAAGCAGTCACGTGGGTGGTAAAAGCTGTAGTCAAAATTGAGCTACGACACCTAATTCCGTGATTGTCTTCGACTTTCAACTGTAGGCTCGAAACCCCGAAACCACGGGCGGGTTACCTATCTTGCCGGAGCGGGATTACGCTAATCAAAACTCTTCAGATTAGAATCTATGTGCGATACAAGGTTGGCGATTCAATAATTTTCACGGATCTGGTTATTAGCTAAATTTTACCTACAAAGCCATTTCATTTTCCATCTTTCTTTTAACAAAAGGACTTTATTGCACCAAAGATGAGTCACATCCTGTGTATTTCACTTTTTCTTAGAATCTTGGTACCTGCTTATACCTGACCCATAATTCCCAAAACTTGTTTTTAACCTATTTGTTACCTCTTGAAGCTTACCTGCTACTTTTTGTGATGTTATAATTTTATGTTACGCATTCACATCATTACAAACAATTAATTTTACTACACAATTTAATATTAATTTGACGGCTAGTTTTTTTATTGGTAAGTTCCCAGTTTTCCCAGCCTATTTCTATTTTTATTCGGTGAACTACCATTTTCAAAGTTTATTTTTGCAATGTAATTTATTTTGACTTAAATTTCCGAGCTCTTACAATCATAATAATTAAGATCATTATTAAACAAACCTTTCACAATTTCAGTGTTTTATTTTACGTTCCTTCCCTACTGTGCTTCAGATCAAAGCGTTGTCTACAACTAAAGTAAGGGGGCCCCGCCTTAGATGTTTGATTAAATGCCACTTTTCAAATTTAAGCGGGATCTTGTTTAGTTTTGGAGGGAATAGTCATTCGGGTGGCCATTTTTAAACGTTGCCGGGTTGACTTTATTTCCGTGTTCTTGTAGTGTGAAGTTAGCATAGAACCTGGGGGTTAAGTACACTACACACGTGTGAAAAGAAACTACAATGTGTAATTTCTTTTCATTCAAGATTGATTAATTGAATTAAATGCATAATAATGCACGTGGTTGTCAAAAGTGCAGCTTTGGTTAATTTAGCCAAAAAAGCTCTACATCAACTGTCAATTAAGGCCAGAGTTCGGTCTTAAATTTTTGTTCTGCAAACAGCAGGCGATTTTCAACCGTCAAATACCAGTTAGCGTTTCCGTAGCTAATTTGGGACCGCAAAGTTCTGAGTCAGTCAAGGAAAAAGAAGTGAGTTGAAATTCCGTCTCCACATCTGGCTCCATACTTACCTAATAACGTAAACTGACAACCTCGTGCGTAACAATCATCATTTTTTCCTTTTATTCAATTCTCTTTCAGCTTATGTCTCACGTCCCAACACACAGCAGAACCCCCATACTATAACCAAGATTTGAAAGTAGCGCGAAACGTTGTCATGTTCGTTAGATGGATCTGCTTGTAGTTGACCAACTGTAAATATAGGGCAAGTCAAAATTGTACTGCCGGATATGGGACCCTAAGATTATAACAGTGTTATACGAAAACGCCATCGTCGTCGCTCATCATCGGAAATAGCAAAATGGGTCGTTTGCGAACTGGTTGACGCATTTAATAAAAAAAGAAAAACCACACTAAAGACAAAGGAACACAGTAAAAAAAGTTGATTTCTTCTATTACATTTTGACACAATTTTGGTTCACATTTTTGGAGCGCTTGGTGCCGTGCAGCGAATAGCTTCCTCATAACTTGGCGGCAGAGGACCTTCAGGCGCAGAGGGCAGCACATCCGTAATTGCCGTTCTCTCGGCAGGGTTTGATGTCACACCAATCGCATCGGGCAAAATCTCGACATTCTCGGGCGTTTGTTGCTGGTCGCCGAGCACTAGTGTCCGTTTCCTTTTACGTCCATCTCGCCATAGAACGCACACTAAACCCAGCAGAACCGCACCTACGAACAAAATGCGTAACTGTGCAGATAGGGATATCACCTACCAACTCCTACTCCTCCAATCACGACTCCAATGTTATGGATTCCTAAAATAGAACGAAATCAAGTCTAAATTAAGAAAATTCAATTGCTTACTTTGCGTTTTTCGATTCAAATTGCCTTCTTCTAGATCTACAAAAATGAACAGGTTAGTATGTTGTAGATAGAAATTGAGAGGCTTACTTTGGGTTTCCTTTTCCGAATGTGGATTCAAATCCTCGTTCACTGATGGTACATTTGGTGGCATTTTCCAATCGTTGAACCAGTTGTGAACTGAAAAAGTTCCAACAGTGAATATCCTACTTCTGATTTTTGTAATTTCATTAATTCAAGTCAAAAGTAGCTGATATAAATATTTTGGCATTTTTTTATTGATAATTTTGAACATTTGCAGCAGTCCTCAAGACTTTCAGCGGTCACTCAAAAAATACCTTAGACTTTACGGTTTTGAATAGACCCTTGCATCTGACATATGTCAAAAACTATGACAGATCTTCAATGGGTTGTATTCAGAATAAAATGGCGCATTTAGAAAAGGTAGAAAATGGTAAGTTTCTATTTAAAGAAAACAACTAAATGGCGCCAACCGGTATTTACGGAAGCGACGCCATCTTGAAATTATTTGCTTTCAAGTCGCAATAATGGTCGATTATTGTTGTGAACCAAATTTCAAGTTTCTATTTCAACTGGTAATCTCTAATATTATGTTTTGTCACGGTATATTAAGTATGAAACAATAGTGGACGGAATACTTTATATTGAATAACACCTACTCACTACCTTGTTCACCTAATTATTTTTTAATTAGAAATTTATAAGCAGACTTGTGAAAGAAATACAATAAATATATAATAGTAACAGATTCGAACTAACCGCGTTTTATCTTAGGTTACTGAACATGACTCTTAGATTATGGAAGAAAGGGGCTGATAATATCCCGTCAAGAGCAATGCTGAGAATTGAAGCAAATTTTCGTGTGGCGGCCATATTCTCGGAGTTCAAAACTGTGCTGTTTATATTTCTTGACCAGTGGCGCACCTTGATTGTACTTATTGTATAATATTATCATTCATTATGTATAATCAATGATATTATATTTATACTGAACAGAAAAGATATGCATAATAAATTGTAGGCGGCCATGTTTTGGGTGGGCAAACAAATTAAATTTGGTTCACTCCTCTCTCTTTCTTCTTTAAGATTTTACCAATGTTACTTTGACATTTCATTTTTCCAAATGGCGGTTCCCTTTTACAAATGCGAAATAATTCTGATGATCTCGTTGAAATTTGGTACTTGCGCCTTTCGCGACCCGGTGTCGCTTTTTTTGTGAAACTTAATACCACAGACAGAATCAATCTAGTTACGTTTGTTTCTGAGATACAGGGTGAAAGCGAAAAGTTTGACTTTTTGGGGTGTTCTCATGTCTTACCATCCATGTAAGATAGAAAAAAGGCAAACATTGCCAATTTTAGATATGCTTGCGTACAAACCAGTGGCGTAGTCAAAGAAATATTTTGGACCACCGTTTGAGATTTGACCCAGTGTTGGTGTTTTTTAAATGCAACACTCTGTATACTTCAACATCAATTTTAATAATAATAATAAATTTAACCATGAAAACCTTATTTTGCTACTGTATTTAAATGAAGTCATGGAGATTTCGTTTTGGTTATTAGGTGCATCCATGGTAATCAAGGCAGCTGATACCAATCAATAAAAATGGCTGACGGTAGAAACATGTCATTTAAAAATTTTTAAAAATATGATACTTGGGTATAATATAATATATAATTATAATATAATAATATATTAAAAAAATAAAGGTTGTGATACTGATACATCAATGTAAAAAATTGACGTTAAAAATGCAGGGTGTTTCATTAAAAAATCTATCCACTTTGGGTCAAAACTCACGTAGTCCAAATTTTTGTTTGATCACGCCACTGGATTCTAGGTAAAAATATCTAAAATGGGCAGTTCTTTTTTTTCTATCGTACATGAGTAGTAAGATGTGATAACATCTCAAAAAGCTCCTTTGTAATCAGATTATCAGATAATCTTTTTTAGTAAATGTGATGAGTTGTAGAATGTAGAGGACGTTTGTTTTACAGGTTTTCTTGAAAATATCAAATACAACGATGTAATTATTATATGGTATTATGAAATGAAAAGTGAAAATATCAGTGAAAATCACATTTTCATATCTGTTTCCTAAGCAGAGATATGGCGAAAATATACACATCGTACGCCCTCTAGCGGCAAACCAAGAAACTGGAAAAATAATTTCCAGCGATTCCTCTTAGTCTCTTGTGTTACCAAAATCCTTTTCCCCAAGCTGTGCAATTAACGGTTCCATAGATGTGGGCTATTAACAGGACACCCTGTACATACCTCAAAATAAATTGAAATTCCAATTGCAATTTTACACTAAACAACAAAAATCGCGACTCTAAGAGTTTTCTTAGACAAAAATACACAGAAAAATCTTTATAGGAAAAGTTTCTTTATAGTGACTGTACGGGGTCAGGCAAAAAAGTAGTTGGACATAACCGCATTTTTTTAAATGGAAACCCTGTATATGTTAATCTAAAAAGATAGCATATTGGATTCTCTTTTCAAAAATATGACACTAAAAAATTTCAATGTGACTTCAAAAAACAATTTGGATTTTTTGAATTCTGTTGTAATTTTTTGAATGATTTTAAATTCTTTTTTTAATCTTTTTGTAATTTGTTGAATTACTTGAATCTCTTTTGAAAACAGAATTTAATATGCTATCTTATTAGCTTAAAATATACAGAGTAGTTTAAAAAATTGAGGTTAGGCCCAATAACTTTTTTAGTTGACCACATACATCAGATTATTCAACAATCATTATAAAGAAACCGTTGTAATATAAATGTTTTTTTTTGTACACGCTCCCAAAAACACCTACTTTACGTACTCAAAAGTGTCCGTAAAAATGAGTCTTTTCCGGACTCAATCACATTAAGTAATCATGGCAACTATTGGTGATCATCTCGGATTTACCAAAACAATGTTGTTTGTGACACGTACCTAAAAGGTTTTCAAAGGGTCAAAGTACGTAGGCCCAACCCGAGGGGAGGGGGGGAGTAAAGAAGAATGTAAGAAGGTAGATAGAAGAGAGAAAGAGAGAATGTTAGTGAAACGAACTGGATTTTATTGGTAGAACCGATTAGCAGTCATTTTTGGGGGTATGTTGTGAAGTTGAAGAAAGTGGGCGTTAAACCACGGGAGGTTGCCGAGAGGTATTACGTGTTAGACAGCAAAGGCGCTAGTTTCCAAGCGCGTATGTTTACCATAAAGATCGGGATCCAATTCAGGAAGTGAGTCGGTATCCTTGCTGCGCCATGAAAAGAGGGAGAACTTTATTTCTACCAAGGTCCACTACTCAAGGTATGAGAGAATTGGGGTTTTTGAATTTTTTATCCCATTGTAAAGGCAGGTTTTCGTTTTGTTTGAAAGTAAATTTAATTACAGAGATTTTCTAACTGAGTTGAAAGATTAGATTTTAAGGTTAAAATAAGTTTCTGAAACGGGATCATAATCACCCCCAATTTTGTTAGATCCAGATAAATTAGTTTCAAAAGAAGGTAAAGCTGCCCTATGGTTAAATCGTAATTTTAGTACCGATATTTATATCTTCAAATTTTTATTGCGGAAGACCGTAGAAGGAGCAGATTTTTGTATTGTTCATTTTTACTTAATATACAGTGTTGCGTCATCAAACTATAATTCGTTCCTTTTGTTTTTTCGAGTCACCTTTGGAATTTTTGTTTACACAGGAAATCGTGCTTAACCTGAACTTCCAAAGGCGACTCGACAGCAACTCATTTTTGATCGCCCGTTACATATGCCGTATCGACCTTGGTGAATCAATTTGTATTTTTAATAAATAAACACAGTAAAGTAATCATTAGTATCGATATTCTTTCAACATTCCTGTCATACGGAAAGCATAGAAAGCATATGACATACAGTCCATTTTGTACGCCCAACATATATACAGTGTGCCCACTTAAATACCTATATTCTTTTTTATTAACATAATATTTTGTTTATATGACTTTGACATTTATCGTCGGATCAACTAATTTTTGAGTGATCATATTTGAACTTCAAAATCAAAGAAGCCATTCATTATACGAGACTATCCTTTACAATCATTTGCATCCGCCTAATAGATCAATCAATACTTTGAGATTGGACGAAGGATGGATATCTCCACGTACTTAAGGTAACCATATTTTGGTGTTCAAAACAGTAATAAACCGATTTCTTGAAGGACGTTGATATTTTTTTTATGGGTTAAACAGGGGAGATCTTTAAAGATTCAGTGATTCGGTTTAAAGGATCAAAAGAGAAATTAAATTGTTAACGTTTTTCATGTGTATGCTTAGCTTATGTCCAGTTGCGCTGTGCGCTCTGATTGGTCGAACGCGACGGCGTGGGCGGGGCTTTTTCCGACGACCCGGCCGTCAGATGTGTCGCGACTTTCATTCATCTCGTAGTTCCTCGCAACAATTGGTTCAAAGGCAGTAGCAAAAAAATGTTCAATTCTATCTCTGGTTGAAGTGAAAGAGACAATGATTTCAAATCTCTGTCTCCAGTATACAAAAACAAGCGAGCAAAAATTTACTTACATGTTTCCACAGCAATGGACCTTTGTTCGTAATTGGACGGATCTAAAAACGTTTTCAAGTACACCCATTAAGAAACACGATTGCTTACCGTCATCCTCGCGGTACCAATGGCGTTTCTTAACCACGTGTAAAGTTCTCTGTAGATTCGCCGAAGGGCTTCTGCATTTATAAATACCCAACTCCCTCTTCTGAGCGTTGTTGGAAAAGTCCAGCGTTGCAATATGATTGGAAGGTCTGCAAATGAATTGTAGGATTTCTTTGCCGTTCGCGTAATACCTACATACTTTAATCGTCTATTATTGATTTGCCACAGTACGGTGTGGTGGTTCGGATAAACTAAACAATTCAAGGAGACGTTCTCGCCATAGTTCACATTAATCGTATTACCGTGAAGCGGCGTATGGCCCGCTTCGATCACTAATGAGGGACGTTCGACTTCTGAAAGATCTTTAAACTGTGCGCGTCGATAAAAATAGGGGCGCACTCACCTCTTGTCGCAGGTATTAATGTAAAACAACCGGCAATAATGAAAGTAATTGCAATGTGCATCACCATGTTCTTACGGCAAGTTACGTACGCAATAAAATACAATTCGTGTATCGGAGTGAGTTGTAAAAAAATCCCACACATTTTGTAGGCGTGTGTTAAAAATCACGTAAACCGTAAAGAAATAAATTAAAATTAAACATTATTACTCTGTGAAGTTGGCGCCTTTAAATTTGAAACTTAGCTAAATTCCTGCGAGTGCAGAGCGGCAAATGCAACTAGAGGCGCTGGTGTCATTTACAAATGGCGTGTATCGGTAGTAGCGAGTTGTAATCGGGAGTAATCTCGAAAAATGAGCTACGGTGAAATATAAATTCGTTCATTTGAGGAGGAGCTTAAATATGTGCGGTATTCAGGCAGCAAGCGTCATCTAACGTATGAATTTTACAACACCCTTTAGAGGATTTACAACTGACTGCCTTACCGATTTTTGCTTAGACTAGTTAAGTTGGTAAGAATGGTTGTTGTTACAGTAGTGAAGTTGTTCATTTTGAAAATGCGTTGTAACAAATTGTGACAAAAATTGACTTTTTTTAAATACTTTGTAGTGTACTTAACCCCCGGTTCTACACTAACTTCACACTACAATAACGGAAATCAAATCAACGCGGCAAAGAAAGTGCAATTACCAAGGATAAAAAGAGTACGACTGAGAAAAATCTTGACAAAGTAATTGAATGATTAAAAAAGAGTAAATGCATTTACACAGTGTTAGTTGCACTCAGTGATAAAATAAGTTTTGAGAACAATGGGTCAGGTAAGCATAAGTACCAATTCTCAGAAAGGGTGAAATACACAGGATGTGATTCACCTTTGGTGCAAAAAAGGTCCTTTGTGAATAACTGCATGAAAAGCTACATTCCCTTGTATACCTTAACAAAAAAATCATTGAATCGCAACTCATATATCCCACATAAATACTAATCTAAAGAGTTTACTGATAATATTCATTGCAAGAATTACATGCTATTTTTTCTTAACCTATCTTGACTATGTTAGTATGCAGGAAATGCTGAATATGACACCCTTGCCAACAATATATTGTGCTTAATTACTATTGTCAAATGTTTACGCACGATCTAGTAAACATGTTATACTTATGTCAGTTTGCAACTGACAATGATTTAGATCGTTAACTTTTACCAATACCTACAATTGAGAGGTTCTATATTATACAACTTACGACGATGCTCACAATTTTGAGTGTTGGCAATGGCGCAATTTTTAGGAGGATAAAAACTGCGTGCGCCATTTAGCGAGCACGAAAGTGGGTTACGTTTGGCATCTTTTCGCTCTGTAAATGTCTGTTGTTTTTTTGTGTTATTTAATGCAATTTTGCATTTCTTTATATCGTATTTGTGTTTTTGTATGCGGCATTTTATATTTTTGTGAGTTTCAATTTTTGTTTTTGAAATTGACCTAATTTAACCTTAATACAGATCACATATTTGATACCGTTATCCTTTTGTTTGTATTCGTTTACATTTTTGCCGCGAAGAGACGGTCACAGGCGTGGAAAAACTGTAACTAAATGACACTCTAAGCTGGGACTGCTCTGGGCTCTGCTGGTAATTCCCGAACGACGGTTCATGCTACAGATCTTGAGGGCAAGATTATGCTATTAAAAACTTTTTGGTTTTAAATCTATGTGTGATATATGAGTTTCGATTCAATGATTTCCACATATTTTGTCGTACCATTGAATTTGCCTACAAGCAGTGGCGTAACTACAATGCCTCAAAGGTACGTAATGAAGATGGGCCTCGACTTAAAAGGGGCCCCGACAGAAATGAACAAAAAATTTAACTCGGTTATACAAAATTCTTAAAAAAATTGAAAAGTTTGTAGTGGACTTAACCCCCAGGTTCTACGCTACTTCACACTACAAGAATACGGAAATAAAGTCAACCCGGCAACGTTTAAAAATGGTCACCCGAATGACTATCAAGATCCCGCCTAAATTTGAAAAGTGGCTCGTGATAAATCATCTAAAAAATCCCGCTCCTGCAAGATATGGGTGGCCCGCCTTGGTTTTGGGGTTTCGAGCCTACAGTTGAATGTCGAAGACAATCACGGAATTGGGTGTCGTAACTCAATTTTGACTACAGTTTTTTTACCACCCCCGTGACTGCTTCATTCACGGAGAAAAATGTTAACAAACATACATCAAACGAATCGGTAATTTCCACATATTAAAATAAAATGATCAAAACTTATATGAATGTAACTTGTGGGACAAGATCAAGTAATCAACATCAATAAACATAAATTAAGCAATTAGCATTACACCAAAAACGTAAACACTTACAAACAATAGCATAACGGTATCACATATGTGATTCTGCATTGCGGCTAAACCAAGTAAATTTAAAAAACAAAGATTCAAATACAAAAATGTAAAATGTGGCACACAAAACACAAATACGATATAAAGACTACCTGCATAAAAAAAAACACAAAACAACAACAACAAAATGCGTTCATGACCGCCCTTCAAGACAAGATGCCAAACGTAACCCCCGTTCGTGCTTTCTAGATGGCGCAGGCAGCTTTTTCCCACTAAAGTCCCTAGATTACAAACAATGAATAAAGAATACCAGGAAGGAGAATATCAACAATATACGTGCGACCGCGATGGCTTTTGCAAATGGCGGACAGTAGTTTCCTGTTCCAGTGGCGTACCTACCTTACAGTTGTAGAAGGATACAATTATAAAGAATTTTACACGAAAACAATCTAAACCCCCATGTGTCTACTCCGCCTATTACTTTTGTTTAACTAACCTCAAACTACATTCCGATAAAAAATTTGTAAATTTACATGTACTATGTAAAAATAATATTGGTATCAATACTTACAGATGAAATGTAATTCCCAAAGTTTTATTTTTTTCTGTTTTGGAGCAACCACAAGCACAACAACTAACCATTCTTTTTATTTCACTGCAACAGACAAAACAAAAATGACTCATAAGTGGCGTTTGCAAATGGCCGACTTCCGTCGCATTCTCTCTCGTATACAACTTGATTAATGCTCCTTCCTGGTATTCTTTATTCATTGATTACAAAAGTAACGCGAATAGCAGCCATTTTGGCTCAGTTTCGGAACCGCGAAATTTGAAATGAAACAAAAGGGAAAGTATGTATTTTGTAGTCGCTCTTGGATTGTGCGGATACTTGGATAGAGCAAGTTTTGTGAGCGTATCGTTTAAAATATATAGTTGCATTCCTTTTTCAATCGTTTCACCACTCCACATAACAACCCTTGTGTGAACCCAATTCTAAATATTTTAATTAATCTTCATTAAAAGTTTTCGAAACATTGTCTTCATTCTGAGTAATTTCTTTTTCGGTTTCTGTTTTCTTGCAAAAGTGCCTAGATGCGCTTCTATTATAACACAACACAACAAATGTCAAGCCTGACACGAGGTGTCAAACGGCCATTTTGGTTCAATTAGCAGTTTGTTTTTGTCTAATACACTTACTATAGTGGAGCGAAATCATGCCAAAAACTATACTGCCAAATGGAAAACGGAGCTGTTCTGCATATTATATTGAAAACATAATGTAACTACATTATCACAAAAAATACGAAAGTCGATAAATCAATTATTGTGCGGGAAATTTTTTTGAATTATTGTTGGCAGTATTTCTAGTGTTACAGTTTCTGTGAGCACAGTAAGATGGACAGGTATCCAAATATTACTTTATATGGACCATCCAACATCTTCGATGTTGTCGAGTGTTAGTTTGCATTGTTTCCTGCGGTACCACACGTTTAATTGGTAAAAGTATGTGTTACGGTGAAAGTAATTAATGTCATTGTGATAAATTTAGGGTTCATTTCCTTTTTAAACTTTAGGGGAAGCGAAACTACTGCCATTTAGGAAACTACGAAGATATTGAATTTTAAAAAAATCATTCTGGAGGCTGTTCAACACATTTTCCTACTTCAGTTATCACAGTCACCGGTTATTATGAATAACTCCCGCATTCATTTTCACCGTACCATGTGCATCTAGAATTTTATTGAATGAAATTTTGAACCGCCTGCCTGTTGGGAATTCATGCTCAAGCGGGTTGTGACATAACGAATGTCCTTATTCAAAATACGCGAGAAAATTGCGGTTGATGTACTAACATCCAATATTGCTACTTTAAAAGACACCCAAATTAGATGAACTGCTACAAAAAGAAGCCTTAGAATTAGTACCTAATACGATATATACTCGTACCAAAGAGTACTCTTTGCTCGTACTATACTGGTTTACCGGAATAAAAATAAAAATATTACAACATTGAATCACCTAAGATTGCATTTAGCAAAAACAACTAATAAACAATCGTCGGAACTTCGGCACTTCTGTAATGGTGCTTTCTTACATTATTTTTTAAGGTGTGTACTTGTAAACTTTCGATTTAGACCAAATGTGTTGTGTCAACAATACTAGATCCATATACCAATTAAATGTGTGGTACCACTGCAAACAATGCAAACTAACACTAGATAAAATGGGAGGTTTTGGGTCCATGGAAAAGAATTTTGGATATCATTGTAATGTATGTGACTTGGCAACGCAGCGATCGCAACCATGACATTGAATAAAGGAGACACGGTCTTCTGCATCCGGCCGTTAAGACGAAAGCACGTCACGTTGTTTTATTAATCCGAATCCACAACCCCAACCATAACATGGTGCCGAAACCCGTAGCGTAAATAAAAGTACGTAGAACTTCGCTATTTACCTAGTTTAGGAGCAGTCTTAAAATATTCCGAAAACATAACCTGATTGGTGAAACAAAAATGGAAAAAATTAATGGGGGCATACCGCCATTACATCTCAGTGGAAATATCTACGAGAACTGGAGGTTTTTCATTCAAAGGTTTAAAAATTACCTGAAAGCCACCGAAATGGATAAGAAAAATCAAGCAACTCAATGTGCGCAACTACTTCACATGGTTGGAGAAAATGGATTCCGAATCTATAACACATTCAAGTTCGAAGACAACGAAAGGGAGAAAATTGAACCATTAATCGCCAAATTTGAAAATTATTTCAAACCTCGAAGTAATATTTCAAATGTGAGGTACAATTTATTCACAAGAAAACAACATGAA